GAGTATAAAAGTGAATACGGATACAGACTACACACTCTGTATCGAGTTTGCACGTATTGCCCGTATTCTTACTGTAAGACGTTTATATTGAGTGAATACATTCTGTATCCGTATTATGACATCTCTGGGCATTTTGTATCAGTCTTATAGGAATCACTGAAATATAGTTATAGCTACTTCAGCAGATAGTTGTTCGAATTTTTACATTCCAAAAGAGCAAGGAAAGCAAACTACACCGTTTCATTCACGGAAAAAAAACTGTAAAAATTTATTGTTCAATTTTGACTTTTTTATACGTCTATATATTCCGACGCTCAAATAAATGATTATACTAGACTAAATATAGGAAGGAAGACTGACGTATATTTCGTTAATTATATACGTCACTCTCTTTTCTTCTTATTATTTAATCTTGAAAACTTTACAAATATTAAAGAATTACGTATCACTACGTTATCATCTGATGATGCTAAAGAGCTTCTTGATATTTTACCAAAACTGCAGTATAATTTAACAACGTTGGAAGTTATATTTCAATCAGAAGATTTACCGTTCTATGCACAAAACTTACGTGAAGTGATATTATGTCGTCCAATACTACCAGCGTTGAAAAGATGTGTCCTAACATTTTATGATAATTTTACTGAAAAAATTATTAAAAATTCAACAACAAATATTAAATATTTAAAATTTGGTAGTATATTAATTCAAGACTTCAATTATTTCAATGTCTACCAAAAATAAGATATTTATACGCTTATTCTGGGAGACATTTACATCATTATCCAATGAATTCTGATCAAATGAAACCAACTATATCCCAACGAACGTTAACACATTTAAAATTAAATTGCTTTTTTATTGCTATGTCGAATATTGAAATATTGCTTAAACATGTTCCATATCTGAAATATTTAAAAGTGACATCATACGACAGAGAACTTGTTCATGGTGTATAGTGGGAGAAAATAATTAGTCAATATTTACCACTATTACGTCTGTTTATATTAAGACTTACAGTCGCTGAATCTCAACGACAAACATTATCTGATATCGAACAAATAATCGAAACATATAACACACAATTTTGGTTCGATCATCAGTGGTACATTCGAATTGATTCAGCTAACGAGGGAACCTCTTGAGGTTATAAATCGCTTTTGAACTCGGACTACTTGTATCTTGTAGACCTCAGTGAGTAGTGAAATACCCTAAGTTGGTTCATCCCCATGGTGCTTTGTTGCTGAGATAT